TTTTTTTTGCCAGAAAATACCAAGCTATGGTGGAAGAACGACGTCGTGTCCGCGGTATTCAGGATATGCGGAATCAACAAAGTGAAATTGGATGGATGCTGTTGTGGTGTCCGCTGCGTGACGTACTCGAGGTAACTTACATTTTATGTTTCATTTTTTATTGGGAAATCAGGATCAGAATCTATCCTTTGCAGAAAATGCAAGTCTTGGAGAAAAAGCGTGAAAAGTTTGTGGAAGAATCTCAGCATTTGCAGAAAAGGATAGAAGAGACCGTGGCCAAGAAAGACGTAGGTGAAATCTCTCTCTTTTCCAGCAAATCCCATTTTTTATTGCAGGAATGCATTGCTGAAGCTTCTACAACGCGCCAGAAAGTCAATGATGAGACAAAAAGCCTGCAAGAACTGAAAGGGAAAATGAAATCTGGCGAGGAAAGGATCAGGTTAGTCTCTACCCATTGTTTTTAAAGCTACTTGGTATTTTTTTGGAAATCTTCGATATGAGATTTCAAATCAAGATACGAAACGGAGTGGTTTGGAAAGGACCAGATGGTAAGGCATTTGAATTCTTTTTTCCTTCTATCTGAGGTTACCTACACTCAATTTCTTTCAGTTCTTTTGAGCAGCGAAAGTTGCGCATCATTGAGCAGATCAAGGCATTTGAAGAGGAATCACAGTGTGAGAAGCGAAAAGAAGAAATTGCCTCTACAAAAATAAAAATGGGAAAGATCACGCAAAAGGTATTCTCATACCTCCAATCCATGACTATTTTTGTCTGTCACAATCATTCCTCTTTGGCTAATTCTATTTTAGGAAGCAGAGATGGTCGAACGTCTCCGTTCCGCTCAGGAAGAGCGTGACGAATTTCAAACAGCCCATGAGCAGGCAGTTGCTAATCAGAATCAGGTATATCCATCTATTCTTCTAATTTTTCCTTTAATCGCTTTGTGTACCTTCCATGCTTCTGATTTGAATTTTGATCCTATAGGCGCAATTATTTCATATCAAGAGGACCATCAAGCATTCATGCATCTTTCATCAAATACTGTGTCTTTAGGTTGTAAGGGAGTCTCGCAAGGTGGCGGGCAGAATGCGTGATCTACAAGAGGAGTTGCATCGGGCTGAAATCACGACTAAAAATGCTGTGATGAGGTTTTCCAAACTTTGACATTTCAAAATGTGAACGGTGAACGAAAGGCTGTTTAACTTTTCAGATTTGGTGAAAATATACCCAGCGTATTGGAGGTTATGAATGCAAACTCTCACAAGTTTGAGCATCTACCAAGGGGTCCGATCGGTATGATCTTTTCGTGCAT